TGAAGATGAAGTATTAATAATGGAAGGTTGAATGGATTGAATGAAGATGAAGTATTAATAATGGAAAGTTGAATGGATTGAATGAAGATGAAGTATTAATAAAGGAATGTTGAATGGATTGAATGAAGATAAAGTATTAATAATGGAAAGTTGAATGGATTGAGTAAAGATGAATTACTAATAATGGAAAGTTGAATGGATTGAATGAAGATAAAGTATTAATAATGGAAAGTTGAATGGATTGAATGAAGATGAATTACTAATAATGGAAAGTTGAATGGATTGAATGAAGATGAAATATTAATAATGGAAAGTTGAATGGATTAAGTGAAGATGAATTATTAATAAAGTTGAATGGATTTAATGAAGATAAAGTATTAATAAAGAAAAGTTGAATGGATTGAATGAAGATGAAGTATTAATAATGGAAAGTTGAATGGATTGAATGAAGATGAATTATTAATAAAGAAAAGTTGAATGGATTGAGTAGTGGTCATATGTCATGACTTATAAAAGAAAATGTAGTTGGAACTCAAAGATAAATTTTATAAAATTTTGTAATTTCCTCAAATATCAAGTTACAGTGGAAATTGTATTATTATAACTTGCCAAGTTAGAACCTGATTTTGGGAAACCAGAAAGTGACATTTTATTTGTTTATAAATATTATCAATATGAATTAAGTGTTAATATTTTTAGATTCATGTGTGAAATCACATTCAAACTCTGCATTATATAGGTTATGATTAATGTATTTTCTTTGAGTAAGGCAGGATTATATATTTATATTATAAATACAAATGTTTACAGACAGGAACTTTGACAGAGGAAGGATTAGATCTATGGGGAGTAATTGGAGTAGAAAATGGAAGGTAAGATATTTAGACTCTAAACACAATTTGTGGTTATAATTGTTCCCTTGAGTCTGTAAAAAAGGGTCGAGTGTGGGAATATTCTTTTCAACGAGAGACTTTTGTCTTGTGTTTTACAACTTAAATTTTAGAATCTAGTATAAATAATGAATTACTTGTTGTTGAGATTTAGCTGTTTTAAATAGATATTTAATGGGTATGAAAACTAGTTGTGCTCAACAGAAAATACAGAGAAAAACTTGACTTCTGGTGTAAGTTCTCTAATTGCACTGTCTAAACATATAAGGAACATATTAAGTGTTCGGTAAATACCTACTGATCAACATCACTGATCCAGTATTTTGAAAAGTTTAATGTACCAACTTGTAGATTTACTATTTCTCCAAGATTATCCTAGAAGTGAATACACTGTATAATTCTCTCAATTCCAAAATTTATGGTTCATGACCTTGTTCATTGTTGTGTTCTCAGGTTTCAGGGTATGGTTCATGACCTTGTTCATCCTTGTGTTCCCAGGTTTCAGGGTATGGTTCATGACCTTGTTCATTGTTGTGTTCCCAGGTTTCAGAGTATGGTTCATGACTTTATTCATCCTTGTGTTCCCAGGTTTCAGGGTATGGTTCATGACCTTGTTTATCGTTGTGTTCCCAGGTTTCAGGGTATGGTTATGGACTTTATTCATCCTTGTGTTCCCAGGTTTCAGGGTATGGTTCATGACTTTATTCATCCTTGTGTTCCCAGGTTTCAGGGTATGGTTCATGACTTTATTCATCGCTGTGTTCCCAGGTTTCAGAGTATGGTTCATGACTTTATTCATCCTTGTGTTCCCAGGTTTCAGGGTATGGTTCATGACCTTGTTCATCATTGTGTTCCCAGGTTTCAGGGTATGGTTCATGACTTTATTCATCCTTGTGTTCCCAGGTTTCAGGGTATGGTTCATGATCTTATTCATCCTTGTGTTCCCAGGTTTCAGAGTATAGTTCATGACTTTATTCATCCTTGTGTTCCCAGGTTTCAGAGTATGGTTCACGACTTTATTCATCCTTGTGTTCCCAGGTTTCAGAGTATGGTTCATGACTTTATTCATCCTTGTGTTCCCAGGTTTCAGAGTATAGTTCATGACTTTATTCATCCTTGTGTTCCCAGGTTTCAGAGTATGGTTCACGACTTTATTCATCCTTGTGTTCCCAGGTTTCAGAGTATGGTTCATGACTTTATTCATCCTTATGTTCCCAGGTT